TTTTTTTTTTTTTTTTTTTTTTTGGTACTGGGGATTGAACTCAGGTCCTTGCACTTGTAAGGCACGCAGCGGTACCACTGGGCTAAATCCCCAGCCCTGCAGTATCTTTACTGATGTCAGCAAGATAAGCGATTCCGACACAGGGATCGTTGACCATCATGTTGACAGCACTGCCTACAGGGAGAGATGGGTCTCTGGGGAGGGAGAACTGAGTAATATGTTAATGGCTAGGATACAAGATGTGGTTAGTGTATAAAGATTTTGTTTGGAGTACAGCAAAACAAGAGCAGAGAGCCAGGACATAGAAATGTGGGTTCCAGTTTCTCCACATGCTCAGTAACCTGATATTCAAAAAATTGGTATACTAGCACTCATACTAGCAGATGTGAAATAGTACAGTGTTGTCTGATTTTTCTTTTTTTTTTTTGGTACCAGGGATTGAACTCAGGACCTTGTATTTCGAGGCAGGCAGCAGCACCGCTGAGCTAAATCCCTGGTCCTTTGATTATATTTTTCTAATGACTGATGAAATACCAAATTATTAAATCCTTTATCCACCTAAGTGGGGTGTGGTAGCACATGACAGTAATCTCAGCTATTCAGGAGGCTGAGCGAGGAGGATCACAAATTTGAGGTCATCCTGGGAAACAGTAAGAATCTGTCTCAAAATAAAAATAAAAATTTAAAGATAGCTGAAATGTTGTCACTAATATAGTTTAGTGGTAGAATATCTGCCTAGCATGTGCAAGGCCCTGGGTTCAATCCCCAGTACATATATATATTAAAAAGTAAAATTAGGTCTGATTAATGATTTATAATATTTGTTTATATATTCTGGATATAGATATATCTGATCAACAATATAAAAATCTTATCACTACCCTCAGATATATACTTCCATTTACAAAGGCCATTTTCCTATGAATATTATTCTTATACTCTATTTCTAAATGTCCTTACTTTTACTGTTACATATTATTCTGTGGTAAAAGAACTCCATGGTTGCTGGGCGTGGTGGCACATGCTTATAATCCCAGCACTCAGGAGGCTGAGGCAGGAGGATGGCTGTAAGTTCGAGGCCAGCCCAGGCTAAACAGTGAGTTCCAGGTCAGTCTCAACTACATAGTGAGACCCTGTCTCAAAAACAAAAACAAAACCAAAAACCAACCAAACAAACAAAAAACTACATGCTCAAATAAATTCAGAAACACTAGATTAATAAAAATAAAAAGGTTCTTTCTTCTAAGAACTCTCAGAAACCTTGATACGTTAATAAGCATAAGATACCTTTGTAAGTAGCATACATTTCAAGTATTTTGCAAACTCAGCATTTATCCTTTTCATTTCTATAGGTCATTGATAAACATATCTGAATAAACTAATGATTTAGACACACAAATGGGAAATCTGCATTCAGATATCCTTGTTGCAAAAAAATTTTTTTAAAAATTTCAATTCCTCTCATTATTCTCAGATCTTCCCATACTTTTATTAAAAGATTATTTTTTCTGGGGATTTTTCTGTGGTTTTTGTGTATAAAGTAACACCACTGTGAAAAAGAAATATATTGTACTCAGCTGAGTTTCTCTCTGTCCATTTTTCTTCCTGTTTTTGGTAAAGAAGGAATTGTCAAGGAATGAAAATAAGCCATCTTAGGTCAAAAATTTCAAATAGTTTTTCTTCCCATTAAGACAAGGGTGGAAAACAAGTAAGATTTAACCAGAAAAAGTAGTGTCTTAAAAAGTTTTCCTACATAGAGAACCAGCCCCAACTAGACTGCCTCTCTACTGCGTTTTAGTTTCCATGAAGAAATGAAACGACAAGATTCCATTGACTTCTGGGGCTTAAATTTTTTTTTCCCCACGCATTGTCCTTCCAGAGCCTCATGTGCTCAGAGGTGAGGCTTTAGGAATGAATGTATTACCATCGGTATGTGTCCCTGGATCAAGAGTGTGTGATCCTGGATCATGAGTATGTGATACTGGATTAGTCCACTGATTGGTTTAGCACAGTTTTGGATATGAGTGTTAGATTTATTAAACAAGAAGACTCCCCCTGGGTGTCAGTAGAACCAAATAATAGGCCTGTAGCCTGGGTGGAATAAAAAAGGAAGGAAGACTGCTGCTTTCTGCCTATCCTTCCATGGACTGTTTCTCCTCTGGCATGTGGCCCTACCTTGGAGTCAGTCCACTATGGACTGAAATCTCTACAAACTGTGAGCCAAAATAAACCTTTCCAACACTGACTTATGGGTTTAAGGTATTTTATCCCAGCAATGAGAAAGTAACCAAGACAGATTTTGGTACCAGGAGTGGGGATGTTGCTATGACTACCTGAAAATGTGATTCAGAAGCTTTTAGAACTGGCTTGAACAAGGAATTTGGAAAGGTTTAGAATGCTGTAAAAAAGTAAGCTTGGTAGGATATTCTGGTCAGAGCTCAGAAGACCAGAATGTTGACTGCACTACTGCCAAAAAAGATGAGGCTCAAGAGGTTTTAGTTGGGAAACAACATGTGCTATGCTCTGGCAGAAATTTTGTCTACATTTTGTCCATGTCCAGAGACACTGTGGTCTATTTTCATGATAAAGTCTGTAACTGACTAAAAAGCTACTAGTAGATAAAACTGTCTACCTCACTGCAGACATGACTGCGGTCCTACAACTGAAAGGTCCCTAAACAAAGGGGGAAGTGGGTAGACATTCAGTAAAGTATGGCTTCACTATGCTAACTCTGATTGAAAAAGTACTGGCAGTTAAGAAGTTACCCACCTATGGCTTAATCACTGGCCTTCAAACTCACAAAATGTTTTCAGAGAGGGCAGGCCAAGAGTCTAGGTGGTTATTGAGAAGATTTTACCTCCCATAATAGTTGGCCAATGAGGAACCGGGGGAAGAGACCTACATGATAGGGCTTAAATTGCTTGTTCTAACTGCTGTAGGTAAGCCTACCTGCCTGCTTGCTGGACTGGCTCCCACTCTTGCAAGATTGAGAGATAAAGTCTGACTTTACCTACATTCTCCTGGTTCTCAGCCTGATCTGTCCGGTGCACATGTTCAAAGGTGCGGGGGGGCTTGTTCTTTTTTTCCAGTACCAAGGATCAAACTCGGGACCTTGCATTTGTGAGGCAGGTGAGCCGGGGAGCCTTATTCTTTACATCTGGATGTCCCCTCAAAGCCTCATGCACTCCTAGGTAGGGTTTTGGGGAGTAACTGGATAATGGGTGAGTGACATGGTATCACAGGTGTGGGATTAGTCATCTGATTGGTTTACCATAGTTCTGGATGTGGGTGGCAATCAACAAGCTTGTAGCCTGGATGGATCCATCCACTGACCCATAATTCTGGGTGTGAGTGATGGATTTACTGAAGAGGAACACCTATCCTGGGTGTGGATGGCAACAACCAATAGGACTGCAGCCTGGATGGAATAAAAAGGGAAGAAAAGGAAGACTGTGGCTTTCTGTCTGCCCTGCCATGTATTGTTTCTTCTGTGCCATGTTGCTTGCCTTGGAGCCAGCCAACTACGGACTGAAACCTCTACGAATTGAACTAAAATAAACCTCATGGGTGTCAGGTGTTTTGTCTCAGCAACAGGAAAGTAACTAAGACACATGATTATTATGAGGACTGTCTAACAAACATATATATGCATGCGTGCGTGCGTCTATATTTTGTTGCTGTTTGCTTGTTTATTTTTTGAGACAAAGTGCCACTTTGTAGTGCAGGATGACCTTGAACTCAGTATGTAGCCCAGGCTAGCCTTGAACTCACAGTGATCCTCCTGCCTCAGCCTTCCAAGTGCTAAGATTAGAGCCATGTGCCACCCCACCTGGCTTAAGAGACATATTTAAAAAGCCCACAGCAAAGTTTCTGGCATGCATGGTATGTATGTTAAGTGTATGTATAGTAAGTGCCCAATAAATTGCTACTAGTGTTATAAAAATAGTTACATTAGAAATATTCTAAATATTTCTACAAGAAATGAAAAAATATTCTTATTTTTGTAGCTATACTAATCACTAAATCAGTTTCAACAATCACTCTAGTAAGATGAAAAGAATCCTTCCCAGGCAGGCAATTCTTGAGAATCTATGATATAACCTGGGTGAATGATTCCAAATCAAATACATTATCTTTCAAAATTATAAAGCAAAATATAGAAATGGGAAACAACTAAGGATTCAATCATAGCCAGTTATTTCATAAGGCCAAGTTTTATAGATTACAGTCATTATTTAAGAAAAGAAAAAATTCCACTAAAGAAAAATGACATGTATCGCTACAAACAAATGGGAATACCAAAAGTAAATATAATCATAGAATTCCACTGAAAACTATATGATTTCACCAGAAATACAATGCCTACCTTCAAAGCAGTAACTTCTAAGGGAAAAATAAAATCTATAAGCCCCTTTTTTTGTTTACCTGGATGAGTCATTGTGACTGGCTCCTCTTTAGATTTATTATTGTAGATGACTACTGCAACTGCATTGTGGAAAGCAGCCCGTGATATTTTCTCTTTAAACGTGCAATTTCCTCTCTGCAGCAAGGCAATCCACTGTTTAATATTAGGAGGAACAAAGAATCGAGTTTGAGGATCACAACCCAGATGATCAGCAACTAGATGAAAGAAAAGAAAAAAAAATATTAATGATAAATAAATCCAGTCTTTTCAAAGTGCTCAACTATTTTCTAAATATTATATAGATCTACAGTACTCTGGCAGCTCACTGACCACAGAGCTATGAATATATACAATCTGAATCAACATCTGCACAGGAAGAAAAATGCAGACTGACAACAAATTGAAAAAGACAGTTAATATCCATGATAGGTTGGTAAGAGAAGAGGGAGAAAAGCCTAGAAACTCAAGAGACAGCTCAAGCCCTGACTTTCTGCCCACTCATTTGCACTTACTAGTCCCTACACACACACACTCCTACCACCACCACTGTGAAGAAATAGGAGATTAATTCTGCTTGGGGACAAAGAGGAAGCCAAAGTAACCTTCAGTTCAATTACCAAGGTCTTGTGGACATTCAAGTATGTTTGAATAAATTTCTTGGTAAATGTCAAAAGAAATCGGAAAAGTTCAGTTTCAGCCTGAATTTAGAATTTTAAGTAGTATGAAATGAAAGGAGAATATTCCTCAAATGTATATTTATTAGTAAAAATTATATCTCTATGTTAAGAGACAGGTACTGTAACCCCCAGCAGGGCACATAAAGATACGAGACTGTCCCTTGGGACTGCAAGTTATATGGCCATGCCATGTTCACACCAAGCTCCTTAAATTTTTTTTTTTTTTTTTGGTACAGGGATCAAACTCAGGACCTTGTGCTCCCAAGGCAGGCGATGGCACCACTGAGCTAAATGCCTGGGCCAAGCTCCTCAAATTTTAATTTTCCACATATGGTCATAATTCTTGGCACCATCTGAAAATCTTAAGAAGCCCTTGGCTGCTCTTCTCACATTTAGAACAGGTTAAAAGAGTCAGGCAGCGCATAAAGAGAAAGGAGCCACCCAAGTAAGGTACAGAATCCAAGTCAGTCTAACGCTTTCAGTCATTGCAAGTCTTGTGAGTACTGGACAGGAAGAGAGGGGAACAGAGTACACTGACCCATAAGGTAACATCAGAGGGAAATAAATCGTATTAAAAAAAATCAAGCACTAGCGGGACATGGTGGCACAGGTCTGCAATTCCAGCAATGGAGAGGGTGAATCAGAAGAGTCATGACTTTGAGGCCAGCCTAGGTTCATAGTGAGTTCAAAGCCAGCCTGAATTACACAGCAAGGCCCTGTCTCAAAACAAAAACAAAACCTCAAATCAAGCATTAATAAATAACAGTATAATTACAGTAGATAAAGAATGACACCAGTGAGGAAATGTTTTCTATATGCCTGGAAACACAATGCTTAACAAAAGAAACTAAATGCTTAGTACTGATCTGTAAAACGCAGAGATGCCACTACTTCATTGAAAAAAAAATAGCATCTACCACTCTGACTTAAATATCTTCTTCAAGTTTGTTATAATTATCATGGTAAGGGGTAGTAACCAGAGTGACCTCTGAATACATAGTAAGTAGACAAATATTTTCATAATTTACTGATTGATATTATCTAGAAATTTTTATACTAGAAACATTAACCTTGCCTTAACCAAATTCAGTGAGGAGGGTTGGGGAGATAGTTCAGTGGTAGAGTGCTCGCCTAGCATCTGCAAGGACCTTGCTTTGATCTCCACCACTGCCAATAAAAAATATTTAAACTTTTATTTCACGGTGTGTGATACTGGAGATTGAACTCAATGCCTTGCAAATACTAGACAAGCATTCTACCACTGTACTTCACCCCTAGCTCCTTTTTTTTGTTTGTTTGTTTGTTTTTTGGTAGCAGGGATTGAACTCAGGACCTTGCACTTGCAAGGCAGCTAGCGGAACCACTGAACTAAATCCCCGGCCCACCTAGCTTCTTTTAAAATTTTAAGACATGGCCTGGGGATTTAGCTCAGTGGTTCTGGCACCTACCTTGGAAGCGCAAGGACCCACGTTCAATCCCTAGTACCAAATAAATAAAATTCTGAGACAGGGTCTTGCTAAAATTGCTCAGGTGGACTCCAACTTGTGATTCTCCTGCCTCAGCCTCCCTAAGGACTGGGATTAGAGGCCTGTGCCACCATGGTCAGCTAGTAGTCAACCACTGAAAGACATAGTCATTCAATTATGAAACTTTAAAATCCTAAAACATATTGTCTACTTTCAGCAATATCTGTTTCACAGATAATTACACTGTTTCAAAATACAAGCATTTGGGCAATGTGTTATGATAACCTTATTGTCTTAGGAAGTCATCCAATAATGTATCCGAACTAGGAGCAATCAAAGAACTGGTTTTAAATGTTTCGTCTGTTATTTTTCAAAACATACTGCTATACAAACCTGGGCAGAAAATGCAGAAATCAAGAATATTTAAAAGGATCTGTAAGCTTGTGTTCTGTGAAACTTTTATTCATTTTTCTGTAACTTATCTTTCCTTACTGTAGTTTCACATGCTTTCACAATAAAGAAGAAATAAACCAGGCGTGGTGGGGCACGCCTGTAATCCCAGCACTCGGGAGGCTGAGGAGGGAGGATCGCTGTGAGTTCCAGACCAGCCAGGGCTACATAGTGAGTTCCAGGTCAGACTCAACTACATAGTGAGACCCTGTCTCAAAAAAATAAAAAGAACATATTTACAGAATCAGCATGGCCTGGGGTTTGAACTGTGACAGGTCACCTAAATTCTCTCACCTTTTATTTAGTTATAAAGATTGAGGTATTCTTATCTCAATTCTATATGTAACAAAGCCCACAGTAATTTCTTTACTCTTGGGAGATTAAACAAATCAACTCCCTTTCTTTTTGTCAGTGTCCATCCTATCTTGTCCTGGCCATCCAGTCTGGTGCCTGGGTGGGCTTCTGAGCCAATGTATGTCAATTCCCCACAGCAGCCTTCTCTCCCATGTCCCTCTGCTCCAATCAGTTTTGGCCCCCATGATGCATCCTCTGCCCCTGTTTGTTCTTACAGTGTCACAGTCTACAGAGAACAGCAAGTCAGTAATATTCCCAATGTCTCAGAATGAAAAGATAACAAAGGAATGCAACCACTGAACAAAATATATCAAGCCTAACTCAAGAGAACTTTAAAATTATTTTCAAGGAATTGGCACCCACTAAGAACAGATTCTGTGAACAACTGCAAGATCAAAACAAATTCTAACAGACTGTATGAGCAAAAGAATGTTCTTGTCCCCAAAATTCATTCAAATCATCAACCACAAAAGGTTCTGAAAACATTTATAGCAGTAAGAATATAACATGCAAAAACAAACAAGAATAAGATATACAAGTATTTTGGCACAGGACGTAGTGGTTATTATTCAGAAGGAAAGAAGGGGTTCTCATAACCACTTAATGCTGCAGTATACTCATTCATCTAGTTATTCCTTCCCATAATTAAAAAATAATATAAATAATAGAAGTAATAAAGTTCTAAACAAAACTTTGCAAGACTAGCCACTAGTGATTAAGCAGTACTAATTCAAAATTTAATATGAGGTGTTTATACTTGAAACAATTTATCTGTCAATAGCAGTTTTGTCCAAATGTAGAATTGTTTTACTTTTGTTTCTCTCAAATATCATAAAAGTACGCAACCTCTGACTTCTTTCAACGTATTAGTTACAGAGCTGAGAAAAGCTTAGAAGTTATAATGAAAATTTGAAATTACAGGTTAATAGAGAATAGCATACCATACGAGCACTTAAAATCACCCCCTCCATACAGTCTTTTCCTGTTGAATGCAAAAAAACTAGACATTTATTTATTTTGTGAAGATGGAGAATAAACTCAAATATGCTATGTAAGCAAGTGCTCTACGAAGCTACTCCTCCAGCCCTACTAACTTTTCCCATTTTTCTTTTTTGGAATCAACAAATCCAATTACATATATTGAAGGTGTACAGCATGTTCTGAAATATGTAAAAGTGGTGATTAAAATGTATGGTGAATATTTAAATTAAAATTTGACCCAGTAAGATATGTTGCCATTAATCCCTTTCAAAATCTTTCCGAAAGTATTTTTGTTTTGGTACCAGGGATCAAACTCCGGACCTTGAGCTTGCGAGGCAGGCAGCAGAACCACTGAGCTAAATTCCCAGTCCCTCGTTTTGAAAATACTTATCCCCGTGTCCTTGCTACTTTCTGAAGCTGTTCTGGAAATTGTCTTTCATGTCTTTACATGAGGTGTGATAAAAAATATGGTGAATGCAGTCCCACTGCCATACATGAAGAAGCAGTCTTGTAAAAACACCACAGCATGTCCTCATCTACTGTTATTTACCAAATCTGATACCCTGAACCTTCTGGCTTTTCCCCAAAGTCAGAATGTCCTTGGAAGGCAGAAGTTTTCAACTGATTCAGAACACTGAGGCAGCCACTGACATCACAACTAAAGACATTTGCAAAAGAAGAATTCTAGAACTGCTTTAGAAAGTGGCAAGAAGGATGGCATAAGTATATTCACAGTGAGAGAATATTCTGAGTGAGATTAATGGTAATGTGCCTTTCACTGGTATACATTTTAAAAATTTAAACATTCACCATTATGTTTTAACAGCTCACATGTCAGAATGATTACTATAATCAAGGTGATTAATATATCATCACCTCACGTAGCAATTCTGAATTTCCTCTGCCTAGAAACATTTTATAATAGCACAAGACAAAAAAAAATCACTCCTAAATCCACTTACCTGATAGGAATCAGTGACAGGAAGAATACACTTCCAATGTAAGCAACCTGCTAAATACCAAAGAGAAGTACATGGAACAGACACCTTGGTTTTAATTGTTAAACAATCTCAGCCCCAAATGGTAGTCCATGCCTGTAATACCAGCACTCCGGGAGGTTGAGTAAGAAGAATTTGGGTTATGAGCCCTGAGTGAACAATTTAGCAACTTGGCAAGACCCTAAAAAAAATTCTCTAAACTTACTAGGGTGGCATGATTGGCACACAGATATCAACAACAAAGAAGAAAGTTCTGTTAAGAAGGGTGCTGAGACATTTAGAGAGGAAA